TGTATAATTGTTGTTTTGTCCATGCACTTATTGTGTTGTATTTCTGTATCTAAACCATGTGTAAGCGGTGGCGCTTCCGAGGGTCTTTGTGTTGTTTACTATAGCTGTTTACTGTTTAAGTTGAGTTGGAAAAAGTCTAAGTTATATCAGCAGAAAGGTCTCTGCAACGTTTCCGGCCGCACATGGTCTTCATATATTTATCATAGATTTATTTATCATGTAATGGTTCCGCAATAACTGGCTTAGGCTGTTGCGGTTTCCAGTCACTAATTTAAGGCAAAGTATTAATAAATAAATAAATAAATAAATAAAAGATTCACACAATAGTGAAAGTGAAACCAATGCTTAACATAGGAAGTAAATTGTCATCTATAAATGTTGCTCATCCCAGGTCTGTGAAAGCTTGTGGATAGATACAGTGGACGTCACAAAACCACCGGTAAATGAGATATAAAAATAGTCCAATTTGGTGGACAATCCATATAGTTTTCAGGCAAAATGTTTCTGGCAAAATTAAGCATAGTTTTGAGGCAAAACTAAGCAAGACACGAAAAATCGCTAAAGGACGTTTATCAGACGAGTTCTATCAAATGAGACAAACTTAATTTGCATTGCCATATCCCTTTAAGCTATAATTAAGAACGAATTCTATATCTCGCTATATAACGCGTAATTCCAAGTTGGATTATTGTAAGGGATACAAACCTGAAGTATAAGATCTTGGTCTTGACTCAGTGCTTGTACTCGGTAAAAACTTGCTATTAAGCTTATAGGAATAAAACCTTCACCATCCATCTATAAACAGAACATTGTACCAACATTTAAACCAGAGTAGCGAGCGAAACACTGTAAACCATCAGTAGCATTAGAACGCTTGCGAGCGAAGCACCGTTTTGAACCGTAAACAATTTCTTCTAAATTGAAATATGTGTCAGCTTGCTACAGTAATTATCATTTTAAAGCTTTTAACACGCGAAATGAGATACATGTTACAGTACAAATAATTTGAAAATAATCACGTTTCTGGCTAAACAGCATGAAGTGTATAGCTATTAATAATGCAGTTGACATGTGCAGTGTTGACATGCAGATGATCTCGGGGATTCATATTTTATATCATTATTAAATTATATTAATTTTATTCAACGTTTCTGTAAATGGTAACCAAGAAACTATAACCTGTAGATGCACTTTCATGACAGTGTTCGCTGCTGGCCATTGCTGGGTTTGATGTGCTTTGCTGCTCGCCCAGCACCCCCCTCCCCTTTAGAAACCTTGCCGGATCCACTACTGTATACTGTCATTTACAGTAAGACATGTAACAAATATACAGTCAAGTATGCTTTGCTGTAGCATAAATAATAGAGTAATGTACAGTCGAATTTTCGATTGTTTGAAACACGCAAATCCAGGCCCCGAGGAGCACCAAACACTTTTTCCAGGTCTGGCAAATTCAGACATTGAGAAATTATTCTCAATCGTTCACAATTGTTTTGAAACAACAGGAATTTTAAAACATTTTTTGGTGTACACACGTCACCCTTTGATACAGTGCTGCTTTTACAGTATGTTTCGATAGTTTCTATGTTAAATGTTCCGTCTATATGCATGTGAAACAATAGTAAACATAAAATGCATATGTGCATGCTAAGAAGTTATCAATTATCATCAGTACCTGTTGCCTCAGGTAGACATCTTTCGCCAGGTTTTCGGTACTAAAATAATATTCACTAAAAGAAAAAGAAAAAATATAGCATTAGTAATACTACAGAGTCTTTATTCTAAAGATCGGCAAGTACATTTTTCTCTTTCAGATCGTGGACGTTGTGACATCCAACTAAAACATTTCGTTATTTGTATAGTTAGGTTGAACACCAAACGTGATTGGCTCATCTGTAGTCACGTGGCTTTAGATAAATGCAATGTATCCCGCCGGCCAACAAGTGAAAAATTGTTAATAAATAAACAAAATGGCGGCACAACTCGTACGTTTCTAAACTACGAATGTAAAAGAGAAGAAAAATAGACAGCAGGATATACTGCTGAAAGCCGTTTAAGTAAGTTCTTCTAATATTAAACTCGTTTAAACTATAGGGTTTTTGTCATGAAATACAATTGTTGAATGAATGTTGATTTTTGTTTCGTCGCTATATAACAAAACACTTAAAATCTGTTCACTCGGGAAATACTTAGTTTTGTTTCCCCTCGAATCTCAATGTTTTACAAACATTATACACTAATTTTAAAACTAGGCAAGGAGATGCAAATAAATCACCACAGCTAGAAAGAGCATACTAAAATGAGTAAAATTGCAAACTTTGGTTGCGAAATGTTGTAAAATGCGGAAAATATAGCCTTGCAAAGTTTGCAAATTTTGTATACTTTTGTAGTGCGTGCGGAAATTGCTACCATTTTCGGCCCAATTTTTTTTTTCCAAAATAAAAAATTAGTCTATAATGGGAATTGTCTATTATAAGACAAGTATATTTCACTCACATTTGCCTCCTAATATAGTCTTTTAACAAGGGTTCATCTAGCATGTTACTGTAATTCCGATTGTCATAGTAGCATATTCCGGCATAAGGTTGAGCCACATAAATTGTTCCATCATAAGGATTGACATTAGAATACTGATATGGATTGTTTCCATAATGCATTTGTTGATCAGACCCTGCAAATAGGAGAATTAAGCATTAAGGAGATTGGAAGTAAAAATTTAGTTTGTTCCGGGGCGTAACTCCAGGGGGGGGGGGACATGTTGTAAAATTGCGGTTTTGTCGGGCAATTTTAACGACAAGCTCGTCAAGCAAAAAATATGTAACTCAGCCAAAAATTTTACATAATTTTACATAATTTTTAAAAGTAATAATTGTAGGAAAATTTTTGATAAATTTACGAAAATATTATTGAAAAATTGTACAAATTTCGGTAAGTTAGTAACAAGTGGCATGTCCAAATATTGTTTCTCCCCCCCCCCAAAAAAAAAAAAAAAATTGGGAAAAGAAATATTAATTAGCGCCTGAAATGTCCGAGTTTGTTTCATTTGAAAAAACTTGTGAAAATTTAATAAAGAGTTTTATTAGCTTGTTCATATCAGTTAATAGAATAGATGGTTTGGAAACTCATTAGAATAACAATAAAATCATTATCTATGTTAGTCAACGTTTATTGATAAATCTGGTCCTTCACCGTCACGTGTGTATTGTATTTTTGCCCAACTAACCAATAGCAATGTTTTAGGAAAGATACCTATCCGTGACCGTGACTCGAACAATAGGGGGAATTGGAATTGCTATTGGTGGATTTGGCAAAAATACAATACACACGTGACGGTGAAGGACCATATTTATGAATAAACGTTCACCAACATAGATAATGAGTTATATTGTTATTCTAATGAGTTTCCAAACCATCTATTCTATTATTAACTATGTTCATATCTTGCTTGAATCTTTAAATATTTTGACTGAAAACAATGATTTATGTTTTATATAGTAGACAATTCTCACCTCTGCCACCTCCTCGCTGTCGACCTCTTCCTCCCCTAAACAAGCCACCAGCACCTCTCCTACCCCTACCCCCACGGCCACCAGGTGAAACACCACGCCAACTGGGAGATCTGCGTGGTGGAAATGAACCATCAGGATCTGGTGAATGATTGGAATTTTCACCATCTTGACCTTTGGGGTCCAGCGGAAGAGGAACCCATTTCTGGCGATTTCCTACAACATAAGAACACCAAGTGAGTTGAAACTTGTACTGCCGGGGCCTGAAATTTGCATACCCACAAAATACTGAAATTTGGTTTTGGATACTAAACTGAAAATGCAGGGGTTAAAAAGTAGGAATACAGCCAAAAAATGCTTGGCATACGCTAATTATAATACTGGGGTTTTTAAATAGTATACATGGAATAAGATAACTTAATTGTCATGTATTTACATAGGTACTACAAATAAATCTATTAAAATGTTAATAAAACTATTTAAAAATATATGTATTTACATCTAGTAAGAACATTTAACAATTATTCGCCGAAGGCGAGGTGATTATCGGGGAATATTCGCCGAGACGAAGTCGAGGTAAGGCAAGCCTGAGGCGAATTGCTTTAGTATTTTTACACAAGCTTTTGTGTTTTTTTGAGACTGAATTTATTTTAATTTCGCTTATTTCTTTGTCAGTAAACTTCCACAAAACAGGTAGCCGCCATTTTGAAGCGGTAACCGTCAGGCGAATATAACAGCTCTATGATAACAGCTTATTACGTCAAATCTGACCAATCAACGCGTAGGATTTGTTATGTTCACTTGTGCAAAAATACTAAAACATATTATTATTGTATTTATCTACAGCATAGACCAGTGGACTGTTCTTAAAACGATCAGCAGTTCTACTTTTAATTATAATATTTGTTTCTATTGAATCTAGTTTCTCTATTTCTCAGGTAACAAGTAGTGTAATTTATGTGACGGGGAGGTCATTTTTTAATTAAATCAATGCAATGTATGTCCCCGTCTCTGATTAAGTGGAAGCAGTTTAGACGAAGCAAGAGCATCTTCATAACTTAGGTCAGGAGTGATAATCCTTACAGCTCGTTTTTGGATTCTTTCACTATTTCGACTTTGTGATAACGTTAGACCTCCGATCAAATCACTGAACAATAAAACTTTAATACATCTTTTACTTTGACAGATCTTTTTCTAAGGAAACGTACAATAAGGCCTGTTTAAAGTAAACGTCACATTTTGTATGCATGTGTCGAATTCCATGGCTTGAATTATTCGACGTTTCTAATTATGGTCATAACCACTGTGATAAAAGAATAGCTGTATATAATTATATAATTATATATTATGAATATGTAAATTAATGGATTATATAAGGAGCCCAGAGTTTGAAGCGAGCAGAGGAAAAACAGGACAAGCAAGGAAGGAGTTCCTAAACATTCAAAAACCGACGAAGACCTTTAGGAGAAGAACAACTTGGAAGGACATCTCGCTTTTGTTGGAAGTATACTGAAGTTCGCTGACTATATACGCTCAAGTTCATTTGAGATCGACAGAAAACCACCTCGAAGCGATTTAAGAATGTTCAGATTGTTAGCAAGTTTCGTCACGCTTTTGTTCATAAGACATAGCCGTTAAAATTCTCAACAAACAAAATACGACGCTGTTATATGTTTGATACTACGCGGAAAGTTAAGCGCTGTGGGCTAGCTGAAGAAAGAAGACGTAGCTACACTCTGTTGGACTCGGGTTTGTTAAAAAAAATACTTTAGGAAATTAGATAACTCTTAGTAATTACAGAATTAAAACCTTTATGTTAATTGTAGTACATTGGGTTTTATTGACTTGTGTTATTGTGAACTGCAGCGCCCACGTTGGCGATAGAAATCGTCACAATCACCATAACTTTAAATTCGACCGGTGCGGTCGAATTCGAGCAAAGTGCGACGTCGTTTGACACGCGTGGGCATCGCTTTAAAGACTCCATGTATTAATGCTATTGGAATGTCACAAGTTGCCAACTTCGGAAAAAGATAAATCTTTGCATACTTTTATTTTCCCGACAAATTTAGGCTTAAAATGTTCTTACAACATTCTTAAATTTCGGAGTACAGCATCATAAGGTGTTTTACACTTTAAGTACTATTTAAAGCACGCGTAGGAGTGTTTTATCACATATAAAACACGACGCGTAGCGGAGTGTTTTATATGTGATAAAACACGACTACAAGTGCTTTAAATGGCTTCAAAAACGACTCATCTTATACGAGTTCACTGGCAAAGTAATTTTTAAAATAAACTTTGTCTAAACCGAGAAAATCAAAGCTAAAGTTTATGTAAATTAACATGATTTTTTATCACATATAAAACCACGACACGCTTATGATTTTTCTTTGTGTTTTGCTCCTGAATTATTGAGTTTTTGAATTTAATTTAATTCATTTGTCACGTATACAAATACAATACAATACAAAAAAAGGACTACAACAATTACATGTGTGACAGGACGAAGTCCCAATTGACAACTGCCCCCATACAAAAGAGACAAGCAATTACATGAAAAAAACAAAAAGACTAATTGTGGCGATGTGTAAGAAGAGAGTTTGTCCGAGAAAAGACTATCGCCTGTATTCTAAAAGCTCACTCACACTCAAAGAGTGGTGGTTCAATCTGAGCTTGCCTTGAGTATCAATGCTGTTTTTGAATAGCTGGAGGGTGATTAGTCACACAGTAAGGTACCACACTAACCCTCTAGCTATTCAAAAACAGCACTGGCACTCAAGAGAAGCTCAGACTGAACCTCCACTCTTTGAATGTGAGTGAGCTTTTAGAATACAGGCGAATATAGTTTAGACTTAAACAACGAGAGAGATGAACAATTTTTACAGTCCGCTGGTCGATTGTTCCAAAGAACTACGACTCTAAAAAATATGAATTCCTGAAGTAATTTTGACTGTATAAAGTAGTTACTTTGTAATTGTTAGGGTCATAGTAATAGATTGAGATTCATCGCAGCGTAACATATGCTTTCATACTTTCCTCTGAAAGATGTTCTTTGAACGATATTGGGTATAATAGGCATGCAACATTCGACGTTTGAAACAGGCATCGAATTTTGCATGTACTGTAGTTCGCTCGAATCTAATGCAGTTCGCACTCTATATACATCATGCAAAATGTGACGTCGGTGTGCAGGGTCTCAAATTGTGCTGAGATACCAGGATTCGAACGTTCTAGTATATCCCCCCAGAGATTCCACTCAATAATCCCACTTCTGGATGCTGGTTACCATGCACGTCTCCCGTTGTTACAAATATACAAAAAAAGACTCAATGTTCAGTCAACAAGATCATCTGCAAAATGTCAACGCAATCTCATTCCGTCAACGTAAACGTAAACATAAAACAACAACTTATAATCGATCATTCTTTCTTCGAACAACTAGAACTTGAAACTCTCTCCCGGAGCATTTAAGGATTAATCATCTTTCTTTTATTCAATTTAAGAACGGAATATTAGCATACTACTTGACTGCATTACGATCCTGCTACAACGTTGACGATTCACGAACTTGGAAGACTGTCTGTATCAAATGTAACCGGCACAAGCAGAAGTCTCATCCGACCATTAACATGCTGTTACTAAAGGGGTGTTTACACAATGTGATTTGTCCTGTGCGATTCGGGTTCTGGTGCATAAATTTCATTTGCTGCCACAATCCAATCTGAATTGAGGCGAAATTTTAAATGCACAAATTTTATTACGCGTGCCACACGGCGGATCGCGGTGTTGTAAACGTACCTTAATTAAATAACTTTATTTCTATTTTTATATTGATATTTTGTAAATGACCCACTGTAATTGGTGTTAAGCTGTTGTGGTGTCCCAGATTCTGTAATGCAATTGTTGTATGTTTGGAAGCGAAGCACAATAAATAAATAAACAACTATACGCAACCTGATCATTTTGTATCATGAATACTGTACACTATGATGCAGCCTAGATATAGGGCCTTCCATTGCTATTTCAGAGCTTTTTCACATGAGAAAACTGGAACCAACGAAATTTGGGGCGGAGAACAGGAAGAGGAAAATCGAGAAATACGAGGCATAACACATTTCCTTGCAACAAAATATTCAAAACTGCCCAAAACGTGCCCTGTTTGGCCGTTTCGATATGGTCAATGTTTGCCTTCTCAAAGAGTGACTTTAAACCAATACAGGCAAAATGAACCCAGTTGTTCAAGGTTGTTCTCTGAAGGTCAAAACTCAGAACAGCAAAACTTCAATCTTCAGACAAGAAAAGCACAATGGGCGTGTTTATTATCACAGGATTGGTTATGCAGGGTCTTAAATTTGAATTTTTCCAGTACCCCACTGGGATATTGATTAGGATTCAAAGTTCTAGTATCCATCTAGTATGCCATAAATTTGGGCACCCCTGAACCATCAAAGTATACAATCTCTCACGGCTATAAACTACAATAACAACAGGGGACTCAACAGTCAATAACTACACCACCCAGTTGGAAATCAAAGGCTGCTTATTTTCAAGAAGGCAGACTCGTAGTTTTCAAAGTTATTGGGATTAAGCCACCAAAGACATTTATAAGCATTATGTTTGAAATTTTGTACTATCCAGTCAGGATACAAGTCATTCACATTGACATTTTGGTATCCATTTTAACCAAATTTTAGTATCCTGTTGATATTGGAATACTGCAAATTTCAGAACCTGGGTTATGCATGCATGTTAGGATACTCCTGTACATAGTTGTAATGTATGTTAATTAAGTATACGTCTAGTATTTATGCAGATCAAGTGCACTTAACAGCTGTATCTGTCTGGCAATTGTTTGAGATTTACTGCTATCAAACAAGCTAGTTCGTTTTGTTTGTTTTAACTGATTTATTAAACAGAGCAGAATATTACATCTTTCTTCTGTTTGTTCATAGCATTTTGCAATTTAACACAATTTGATAGTTCAGTTTAAATGATGAAAATTCCATGCAGAACATCAAAAGAAGTACTTCCCAAGGGAATGCACCAGAATCTCAGGGCCGCAGGTTTGATTCATGCAAGAGGCACCAATACTCGCTTTTTTGGTGCTGCTCCTTGTTAGATCTTAATGTTTAAACTTTACACTCAACATCAGTGAAATTCTCAAAAAATCCTGCTATGTGATGTCCCACTGTAAGCAACTCGCCTTAATTAACTTTCAAAAGTTTAAAAAGTCCAATGACAGACTTGCTATTGCATCGTGTTAGAAGCATAGATAAAATCTGAAATAGGTAAAAAAATCACACAAATTCTTAAATCATAGACCACTGTTTTACACAAGAACAAAACGGATTGTGGGATGTAGCAACCATAACGAAAAGAGTGCTGAAATTATTAATAGCATTAAAAAGAGATTTACATAAAAAATTCAGAGACAGCAGGAATCGACAGGCGGGCGGTGATGCTAACCAAGTTTTTTTTTATTTGGCCTTATTAATGTCTGTGCATGTTTATATAGGAAGTGGGCAAAATGTGCCAAAGTATATAACAGAAGTAAAATACAGTAGTCAGGGTCTGAAATTTAAATCTGGGTTCAAAATTCTACAGTAGGCTAGTATCCCATTTGAGAATCCATTTGAGAGTCCAACTGGATGGCATAATTTTTGGCATTCCTGAATCATCAGAGTAGGTATACAGTACATACCTTTTAACAAATATAAAACATTTTCCGTGTTGATATACAGTTATATCAACACAAGTGGAAATTGGGAAAACGAGAAATTGTGTGAAAACACGACGCCCGAAGGGCGGAGTGTTTTCACACAATTTCGAGTTTTTCCAACTTCCACGAGTGTTGATATAACTATATATCAATACGGAAAAAATGTTTTATATTTGTTTTATAATATAGCAATGTCAAAAGCCCGAAGAATAAGAAAAATTTCCGTGTTACAAGCGGCGGAAAATTTCCCGTGTTGACATGGAGTTATATCAACACGGCTCTTAGCCAATCAGCGTTCAGAATTTACAAATGTTATATTATAATTATTGTTATAAACTACAATAACAACAGGACACTCAACAACTGGACAACCAAGTTTAAAATCAAAGGCCGGTTATTTTCAAGAAGGCAGACTCATAGCATGCAAAGCTATTGGGAGACCCACCAGAGACATTTAGCATTATCTCGCTTGACATTTTGTGGTATCCAGTTGGGATACAATTACAAGTCATTCACAGTTTTGTGTCCAAGACCAAATTCTAGTATCCAGTGGATATTTATTTAAAGAGGGTAAAAACATATGACAGCAATATAACTGAAAACCCTGTGGCCCTCATATACAATATATACAAAGTTATTAATTTTACTTTAAAATGTCTAAAAGCTACTTTTAGTAAGAAAAATATATAAAAGATCTTAGGATTATAAATTCAAATATATAAATTATAATAACTTACTGATCACAATAATAACTCAAAGCGATAGATACGGACGATACCCTTAAATACTGTATGATTCTAAGAAATAGTTTTTTAAGGGCAAACTGCCAAACTTAAAGGAATTAATGCTAGTTTTGTCTTAATATCCTTCAGAAGATTACTCAATATTTTAATGCTGCTGACTGTTACAGATTTTTCTCACTCAGTTGCATAGTTATATTTAGGACACACCATTAAATTGTATTACCCATGACGAGTTTGTCTACCTTTAATTTCATTGATTGTTTTAAAAACAGAATTAGTGACACGTCGTAAACTTTGTTGATATTGTGTGTATAACTGTACTATATTTTACTGTGTATAAGTAATGTCAATTCAGACAATTGTTAAATACTGTAATGTACAACATACTACGTATTGTAATACTTGTTGTGTCGTATTATGTACTCCGTTGTATGTATTGTACACTTTGTTATCTTATAATCAAACTCACTTGTAGCATAGAAGAGCCACTATGTGGAAATGCTATTAAATCATTATTATTATTATAAGTTCTTAATATACCCCAATGTATCCCGCCGGGCAACAAGTGAAAAATTGTTGACTGCCTCGACCGCCTATGTACATAAATAAACAAAATGGCGGCTCAACTTGCAAGTTTATGAACTACAATTTTCCAAGTTTGTGTTCAAATAAAGAATGTAAGAGAAGAAAAGTACACAACAGGCAACAGGATATGCTGCCGAAACTGTTTATAATAAGTATGTTTGCTTAATTTTAAATGTATATAGAGTTTTTGTCATGAAATGTCATTAATTTTTCGGGAAACATTAAGACTCTTGGGAAAGGGATCCTGAAAAATTTGTTTCCAATAACGGTATGTGTATTAGGGCGTCCGAAGGGGTACAGGGGTTAACTCCCCAATTTCCTCCGTGGGAGAGAAATGACCATTGTTCCAATGTTCTTGTCGCTGTATTGTCGCCAGCCAAAACAATTTCACATCCACACAAGAAATATCAATTTGCATGCAATAATGAATTGTGACTAGCTGTACATATGGTACTTGCTAGCATGTAATAAATAGTTAATTACACTATTCACACAAGCCCAATGAACAAATGAGATATTCAATCACATGTTTTTTAGTGTCAAGAAGCCTCTTCTAAAATCAATCCGTTCATGGTTACATCATCAACTGAATATCACACTATTAAATGGCATATTTTGAAATAATTGACTTGCAGCCTACTCCAATATAAACATTGGTAATCATAGCATGGCATCAAGATAGTTTAATATCTCTGCATAAAGGAGACACGAATGCATTGATTACACTTACCTTTGGTTCTACGTGAATAAATACATGCGGTTACTAAGTAATCGTACTGCCAGGCATTTATTTGTGTGGGAAGAACATTATATTCGAAGCGAAGGAAATGAAATCTGATACCTTTCTTTCTTGGGGTCGTTTTTAGATTTTCTTCGCTTGTACTATTGGGAACTTCGATAACAGCTTCTTTTTTAACCGTAGAATTCTATAAAATAGCATGAAGACAAAAATTTGCAAAAAAATTTCACTCGAGAGATTTCGCAAGCCTTCAAACCGGGGGGTGGGAGAGTTAAAAAAATAATATATATACATGACTTTTCTCATGTACCTTCGATTCTTCTGTATTTTGACCGGTCTCCCCAAGGCTTGGCCAGCTTTCTGGATCCGTCAATTTATCCTCCTGCTATTAACAAAGTATACGCTTCTAAATACGTTGTATTATGAAACATCGTTTTCGTTCAAAATACACAGATATGGCAAAGGCCAATAAGACATATTGGTGACCGTACCTTCGGAACCTCTGGCTCTTTTACGCTTTCTTTCGCCGTTCCTTCGGGCTTAACTACAGAACATAGAATACTGTGAACCTCTGAAAAACGTGCTAAGCAAATCCGATAAATCTTGCCTTACCTTTCTCAGTGGAATTCCGAGCGTTTTTCGTGCTTTTGTTCCAAGGATTGACTACAGGGGGTGGCGGTGCAATTGTGGCTAAATCAATAGTATGACTCGTCTCGTTCGCTTGCTTCTCTTCTCCACCAGAACTGTTGCCATTTTCAACCGACTCTTCATTTGTTTTCCCCTCAGGGATTTCAATACTCTGACTCGAATCGCCATTGTCTGTAGGCAACGTCTCTACAGCCGGGTCTACAGGCAACTGTTCGTCGATCGTATTCGAGGAATCGGCTTTGCTCATATTAAACCATGTGCTGAATCCTTATTCCCGCGGCTAGAACGTGGCAACACTTTCGAGGAGTACGAGACGTGTGTAGGCAAGTACAAAGCCTTGTTTCCACAAGCCGAAAGACAAACTTTTAGACCATCATCACGACCATATTTTGCCTAAACACGACCTACCATGTGCAATAATAACGAAATCTCGCAAGAGACTTCCAACGCGCATGCTTGCTCTCGAATGACCACGTGATTGAATGTAAGGAAACGTGTAACCTGCATTCGAGAGCCACGGAATACATTAAAGTCAGATACTCAAATTTAATTAAATACTTGGCAGTCTGTACACAAGCTTTATTAAACTTTTAAATGATTCTGAAACAATTTCCTCGTGGTAGCCGGACAGCGCATGTGCATTTATACATTTTCATTGATTATACAGTATATTCGACAATCCAAATTTTTATTTCGCGATGAGGGGTACATGGCTTAGTCTTACAGCGATTTTGGCAAGCATTGCAGGTCGCGTGATTGGGAATCAGACAAATTTTGGCTGAAAAATTACATTCCTCAAGACCGTCCGTCAATTATCATTTATGCTGTTGGTTGCTTAGTAATTATATAGAGTATTTATATGTTAAATGGCATTTCTATTTTTTATTCAATCAAAATGCGAGCGTGAACCGTTCCTGGTGGACTGGGATAGATGAAATATATATGCCTCTTATATGGATTAATATACTAAAATCTTTCCTTAATCATTAGAGGTCTAAGTGCTTACGTCACGCAGTTTTTAATACAGAGGACGTCTGGAATCAGTGGCGGAAATCTTGGTGCCCCCCCCTGCCCACCACCTACACGGAAATTGACGAATTTTCGGAAATTTTGACCTAAAAGAGGGCTAAAAACAGTCTTTTCGAGTGCAAATGGGGGGTACGTCGGAAATTTGAAAGTTTTGTCGGAAATTTAGGAGGCTTTGCCCCCCCCCCGGAAAAAGTGAATTTCCGCCACTGTCTGGAAAGCACGTTGCATTGTGGGATACTTTTGGATCAATAAACCTGAACCACAATCTAAACAGAGCTTCCACTCGGAAGGAAATTTCCTTCCAAAAGGATATTTTGGCATTTGGAAGGAAAAATAAAAGGAAATAAGATTTGGAAGGAAATTGGAAGGAAATTCGGACATTTTGAAGGAAAAGAGAAGGAAATTTTACAATTTAAACCTTTTCAGTAATTTCTAGTAATTTAATAATGGTTAAACACTTTATTATGAACTTTTCAGTTCAAAAACATTTATAAAAACAATACTTTGGATATTTACATAACTATCAAGGATGAATGGGGGTAATTTGGGACTTAACAGGTCTTCAGTGAAAGAGTAGAGTACTTGTATATAAATAACGGGGGCTCAATTTTTTCGCGGGTTTTTAATTTTTATAACCCAAAATTAAAAACAAACAGTCGGAAAAAGGGAAACTGTAATTTCTAAGCCAAAAAAAGTAATTTATAAATTATGATGGCTCATATTTAGTCATTGAGTCGACATCAAGTAGTTTTCAAATGCAAACGGAGTAGAAAGCGTGCAGGAATAGGGTCTGGTCCAAAAGCAAATTCATAAAAAAGTCGTTTTACTATGTCGTTCGAGAAAACAGACAAAAATGAGACAACAGAACATGTTGTTTCAGGTTAAATTAGAGTTTCACTATTTGAATACTGCAGTACACCTTCAATTTACATCGGAATAAAGTACAATGCAAAATTTACTATACTATTTTAAACTGAGATTGGAAGGAAAAATGGAAGGAAATTTAGGATTTTGGGAAGGAAATTTTGCGAAAAAAAAGGACAAAAACGAGAAATTTTGCTTTGCCACAGTGGAAGCACTGTTGGGGAGTTTTTCAAGTTTTTTTAAAAAAATAGTTTTTAAAAAAGTTTTAAAAGAGTTTTAAAAAGCAAAAAAAGTTTAAAAAGTTAGATTTTTAAAAAAGTTAAACATGAAAGTTAAAAAAAAACTAAAGAGTTAAAAAAGAAAAAAAACTAAAGAGTTAAAAAAGTTAGGGTTAGTGGTTAGTGATTGGGGTTGGGGTTAGGGTTAGTGTTAGGTGCATGCCGCGAATTTATTATTATGATAAATTCAAAATTTGCCGCGAATTTATCATAATGATAAATTCGGACGTGTTTAAGAATTTACTCATATAGTAAATTCAAAGGTGGAGCTTATGCTGCGTATTTGCATCCTTAAATACATAATATATACACACTATTTCCACCATAAAATTGGAAATTGTTATCTGCCGGGTGTCCCAAAAAAACAACTGGACATTGTTTGATTTCATGTAACGTAAACGCAAAACAAGCTATACGAGATCATTACATTCAGAAAGGACTAACTTAGATTTTGCAACATGAGCTCCACCTTTGAATTTACTATATGAGTAAATTCTTAAACACGTCCGAATTTATCATTATGATAAATTCGCGGCACATTTTGAATTTATCAATAGAGTTAATCATAAAACCACAATCATTGCACAAGGTTTCTTGTTATAAATGTAATGGCACTAAACGTGTTTTTTTAAAAAAATAGTTTTTAAAAAAGTTTTAAAAAGTTTTAAAAGAGTTTTGAAAAGCAAAAAAAGTTTAAAAAGTTAGATTTTTAAAAAAGTTAAAAAAATGTAAAAAGTTTAAAAAAGAGGGTTAGGGGTTAGGGTTAGGGGTTAGGGGTTAGTGGTTAGGATTGGGGTTAGGGTTAGTGTTAGGTGCCGCGAATTTATTATTATGATAAATTCAAAATTTGCCGCGAATTTATCATAATGATAAATTCGGACGTGTTTAAGAATTTACTCATATAGTAAATTCAAAGGTGGAGCTCATGCTGAGATTTTGATATACAACACTTGAATTTACATGTAATATTGAGCGAGATACAACCAAAATAAAAATATTTATTATTTAACAAATTTGGCCATTTTTATACTAGAAACGCATTATGCGTCTGGACGAACTTGGGCAAGCATTTGTTGTTCGTCCGGTTATGCATCCTCAGTATAAAGACGCGGGCACAAGACGCATTATGCGTCTACTGCGTCTAGACGAACTATGTTCGATTCTTCGTCTTAAGAGACGCGCAACCGATGATAGTTTGTCTAGACGCATACGTCTTGTGCCCGTCTTTATACTGAGGACGCATAACCAGACAAACAATAAATGCTGATAGTTCGTCGGATTATTCGTCCCGTCTTTATACTAGACGAATAATATCGAAGATGGATTATGCGTCCAGACGTCTCTAATATAAAAACGGCCAATATAACTACATCGGTAATTATAAGGTTGATTTACGCTAATTTTTGGCATTTTCAAAAACAGTAATTCAACGTTCAAACATCAATAGCGCGGTCAATATGTATAGCGGTTAATTCAAGTGCTATATATATCAAAATCTATAAGTTAGTCCTTTCTGAATGCAATAATCTTTATTTCATTGCGATAGCTTTTATAGCTTTTACGTTACATGGAATCAAACAGTGTCCAGTTTTTTGGAACACCCGGTATTTAAAATAATTTCAAACGATATATTGATACTGAATTTTAATTTTAAGTCTTTTTTTTAAAAAGTTGACGAAACACTTATTGGCGAGAAATGCAATAAAACCACTCACTCCAGCTACGTCGCTAAAAGTGGTAACCATATTAACAATTTTGAGCGCAAAAACAATATAGCCAATGGCAATACAAACGCTAGTTCACTACATGCATGTGAGCTAGAGATAGCATCCTACCAATCAAAACACTGATACAATAAATTTCACGTGTTAAAAATATCAACGCGTCGTGATTTTCTATTTCACGCGTCTACTACTGCGCGGAAATCTCTAAAGCTACTTATATAATTAATATTTTTTGTGTGTTTTAAAAACCAATGAAGATGGCGGCTCATGGAGTTGGTTCAAAAGTATTTTTCAGTGCTTCATTTGTCAGACATGAAGCTAAATCTTCCTTCTTCCTGAAACGAAACATTAAAAAATGAGTATTGGTTATAGAGATGCCGAATTATGGAACAATTTTAACAAATGCCCCCCCCCCCCAAGTCCCCCCTTGTGCCCCGACGAAATCACATTCCC